TACTTCGGAGACAGAAAAACCCAAGATTCTATGTTAGTTTTTTTTAATGTTATTTGTTATTATTATTATTTTAAATTTTAGAAATTATTGATTTAATTTTATTTATTCATTCATTTATTTTAATTTGATAAGAGAAAGAGAATGAGAAAGCAAGCCACCAGGTCTGGGACTGGCACCGTGGTCAGCCACGTGGGAGTGTCCAGCGCCTTAACCACTGTGCCACCTGCTGGTCCCCTATTTTAAAATTTGACCAAACAGAAAGAGAGAGAAGGGGAAAGTGAGAAAGCAAGCTACCAGGTTCAGGACTCAAACCACAGTTGGCCATGTGGGAGTCTAGCACCTTAGCTGCCATGCCACCTGCCGGCCTGATGCTATGCTAGTTTTTTGTTGTTGTTGTTGTTGTTTTCGATAAGGTGCATGCACTTGCCAGAAAGACAGAGACAGTGAGAGGGAAATTGAGAAGTCACCCTCTCCTGGGGGGATGGACATGCTATAATCCCTTCTCCTCCATTCTCTTTCTGAGACTTTGGGCATGCATGCACATGTGCCCAGTGTGAGTTTCAAGCCAGCAGGTCTGAGACTCAAACCGCAGTTGGCCATATGGGCGTCCAGTGCTTCAACCACCACGCCATCTGTCAGCCCCTCCTATGTTAGTTTTAGTAGTAGCTGTTTGACTTTGGGATATAACTTAATCTCAGTTTCCTCAACTGTAAAATGGGGATAATAACACTTTTCTTGTAAGAGTATTATGGTTTAGACATATGGTAGTTATTTAACAAAACAGATGCGAGCGCTTAATAAAAGGCAGCAATGATTATTATTCATTCACTCCTTTTTAACTTGCTATAGGACATGTGCACTTGCTGGAGAGAGAGAGGGAGAGAGAAAGAAAGCCTTTTCACACTCCAGGGAAGAATATCCACACTGTAATCCTTTGCCCTCTATTCTCCTCTTTAGCTTTTGGTTACACATGCTTGCATGCATGGCATGTTTTTAAGCCACTGGGTTCAACCATGCAGTTGGCCATGTGGGATCCACCTGCCTTAACCACTATACCGCTGGTTGGCCCCATTCAGTTTTTTTGTTTGTTTGTTTTGTTTTCTTTCTGCTGTAGGGCTCATGAGCCCACCAGGGAGAGAGAGAGAAAGGGAAAGTGAGAAATTACCTCCCTGGGTAATGGCCATGCTGCAATTCTTTCTTCCCCATTCTCCTCATGGTATTTTGGGCACACATGCACAAGCATCCGGGATATTTCTTTGGCTATCAGTTCTGGGACTTGAATCACACTGTTGGCCATATGAGATCCGTCTGGCCTTAACCTCCATGCCACCTGCTGACCCTTCACTTCTTTCTAATCATTTATTTATTCACTAAAACAAAGTTTGGTTGACTGTTTACAATATTCCTGAGAGGAATATGACATGACCTTTGCCACTTAGGATCTTTAGGTTTAGCCTAGGGGCCCTTGGGTGATGTTCAGAGTTTCAGTGATTCTCCTGAAATAATATGCATACTTTTTACATATCCACGCCTATGCGCATTTGTCTAGGAAGGAGTTTATGACTATGTATTATGGAATCTTAAGGACTGACATTTAGTGTTTATTATATAGTTGTTTTGTTTTTTAATTATTGCCAACGGATACGTGTGCTTGGGGCAGGGAGAAAATACCCTCCACTGGGGCATGATCACACTACAATCCTTTCTCCTCCATTTCTTCCTCCTGTTGGGATTTTGGGCATGCATACACACACATCTGGCCTATTTTTCAAGCTTCTGGTTGGGGGATTTGAACCACAACAACCATGTGAAATTCATCTCCTTTAACCACTAGATTATGGGGCTGGCCCATAGTTATTTCTTTTTAAGTCTGTTCATTTATTTCTTTCATGAATGAGGTAGTCAGGTAGAGAGAAAAAGAAATAGCATCCTGAACAGGGTCTTGGTGCCACAGGTCACCTCCAGCTTCAGTCAGCCTTGATATTATCTATCTAGTTTATAAAAAGTTCTCCAGGCAAACCCTTCAAAGAGACTGAAATAACTGGAGCGGAAGGAAGCCTAAGGAGAGAACCTGCGTCTGCTATTGATTCCTTTCATTATTATTTTGTCGATACTGATATGATGATGATTGAGAGAGAAAGTATCCTGAACTAGAGGCATAGCTTTTGGAGTAAGGCAGTCTTATCAGCCACTTCCTAGCTATAATTTTTTTGAACTAAAACTTCCTGATGCTCAGTTGCTTCACTTGTAAAATTGTGTTTTGAGAATTAAAGACTTAAGGCCCCTCTGATGATAGTGTGACCATGCCCTACTGGGAGGGGCTTTCTCCCTCTCTCTCTCTGTTTCTCTCTGGCATGTGTCCACTAATTAAAAAAAAAAAGAAAAAAAAAAGCCCCTCTGATGGTGCTGCATATGACAGATGCATAATCCTTGCTGACTGAAATTAAAAAAAAAAATGATCAAGTTGGAAAGGGGAAACAAGGCAAAAAAAAGCAGTGTGGGGAAAAGCAGGGTTTTTTTTTTTTTTTTTTAGCATTTTCTGTAGTACGTGGACAGAAGACAATTTGGTTTGTTGTATGTTGGTGTTGACTATACCATATACCTTTTTTTAAAAAAAGAATTATTTTATTTAATGTTATTTATTTATTTTTAATTTTGACCAGAGAGGGGCAGAGAAAGAGAAAGAGAGAGAGAGAAAGTGACAAAGCAAGCCACCAGGTCCAGGACTCGAACCGCGGTTGGCCACGTGGGAGTCTAGCGCCCTTAGCCATCGTGCCACCTGCTGGCCCCTATACCATACACCTTTGCTAGTTTTTGCTAGATAATGGCCTCAGGTCCTTTTGGTTTGTGTTTTGTGGGTTTCTAGCCTCTTGAAAAGTACCTGAAGTCCGTGAATGCTTAAGATCCTCCTAACACGGCTGTTTTGCTGTAGGTGCTGTGCCTGAGAAACAGTACCATTTTCAAGCAGAGCTCTTCCTTCTTAAGGTAAGGATATTCGTAACATTAAAGCTACCCTAACAAGTAGCTCGTATTTGCATGCTGGTTCAGTGTTTGTCTTTCATCATGTCTACTTACATGTCTATTGGGCATCTCAAACCCTAACTCCCCTGCCTTCTTGATCCTCCTCCATTGGCAGTAAACGGCAACTCCTTTCACCTAGTTGCTCAGGCCAATGTCCTTGCAATTATCTTGACACTTGTTTTTCTTTAGTACATCTAATTCTTCAAGGAAACCTGTTGGCTCTGCTTTCGAGATGCATGCAGAATGAAGCTATTTCTTATCTCCAGTGTTAGGCCTTGTGTCTTCTGTTTTGCTAAACCACCGGGACCACTCCTTACTCAGGACAACTCCTTACTTTATCATCTCCTTTCCTACCATCACCCTGCCTCCTAACTAGTTTATCTGTGTTTACTTTTGTCTTCCATCCATCACAATCAAACCAGAGTGGAGAAAAAGGAGACCTACCACTGGTGCCACAGGCAGTGGTGTGCTACCATGAGGTACTGGGTCCATATGAGAAGGCCCAGGGTTTGGATCCTAGGTCATCCTGAACTTAGGCATGCCAGTGTGAAGCTGAAAGGCTGGGGGAGGATCACCATATGACAAGACCCTGTTGGGGTTGCCCGTCTCTGTCTTTCACTCATTAAGTAAATAAATTAGTTAAAAAATTAATAAAGCCAGAGTGATTCTTTAAAAGCCAAGTTAGCTCATAGCACTTTTTGGTTCAAAAATCTTCAATGGGAGACCAGCAGATGGCATAATGGCTATGTCACTCCCATATAGTCAACTGTAGTTCAAATCCCAGACCCGGGGACTTGAAACTCACTCTGGGCAAGTATGCATGTGTTCCCAAGATTCTGAGAGGAGAATAGAAGAGAGGGGATTGCGGTGTGGCCATCCTCCTTGGGGATGATTTCTCGCTTTCTGTCTCTCTGTCTCTCTGGTAAATGCATGCTCCCTGTGACAAAAATCTCTCTTAAAAAAATAAAAAATTCTCTAGTGGTACTGTTTAATCTTACTCAAAGTAAAATCTACAGCCCCAGAGACTAGTTGTCATTTTTTTGTTTTGTTAATGATAAAAAATACCTGAGTCTGGGTAATTTAATATAACAGAGGTTTATTTAGCTCCCAGTTGAGAGGTCTACGGCTAGTTCTGGTAAGGGTTTTCCTGCTGGTGGTGTCCTGAGGCCATGT